ATTGTCCATTTCCTTTAGATTTTTGAATTTTGTGGAGTACAGGTTTTCGCAGTATGACCTGAAGATTCTTTGGATTTCCTCGGTGTCTATTGTTATATCCCCCTTTTCGTTTCTGATTTTGTTAATTAGCATGCTCTCTCTCTGCCTTTTGCTTAGTTTGGCTAGAGGTTTGTCTATCTTGTTGATCTTCTCAAAGAACCAACTCTTTGTTTCATTGATTCTTTGTAATGTCCTAGTTTCTACTTCATTGATTTCAGCCCTCATTTTGATTATTTCCTGGTGTTACTCCTCCTTGGTGAGTTTGCTTCTTTTTGCTCTAAAGCTTTCAGTTGTTCTGTCAGTTCTCTAGTGTGACTTTTCTTCAGTTTCTTCATGTGGGCACTTAGTGCTATGAACTTTCCTCTTAGCACTGCTTTCAGAGTGTCCCATAAGTTTTCGTATGTTGTGTCTACATTCTCATTAAATTCTAGGAAGTCTTTAATTTCTTTTTCGTGGTGTTCTGTAAGCTTCTTGTATTTTCATAGGTATATCCTTCTGTAGGATGGGGAAGTTTTCTTCTATGATGTTGCTGAATATGTTTTCTGTACCTTTGAGCAGTGTTTCTTCACTTTCTTCTATGCCTATTATTCTTAGGTTTGGTCTTTTAACGGTGTCCCATATTTCCTGGATATTTTGTGTTAGTGATTTGTTGGACTTGAGGTTTTCTTTGGTGGATGAATGTATATCCTCTAGCAAGTCTTCAATAACTGAGATTCTCTTTTCCATCTCCTGAATTCTATTAGTTATACTCACATCTTTAGTTCCTGATTGTTTATCCAGCGTTTCCATTTCCAGCATCACCTCATTCTGTGTTTTCTTTATTGTGTCTATTTCAGCTTTCATGCTTTGAACTGTTTCAAGAGCTTCCTCCACTTGTTTGGTTGTTTTTTCTTGGGTTTCTTTAGATTCTTTAAGAGATTTGTTTATTTCTTGAATTTTTTGGTTTTCTTTTCCTCCATTTTGTGTAAATTTTTGCTTGCTTTTTCTTCTATTTCTTTAAGGGATTTTCTTGTTTCCTCTTTAAAGGTCTCTATCATCTTGCTGAGATAATTTTTGAGGTCCATCTCTTCTACATGCTCTGTGTTGGGCTTTTCAGATCTTGCTGGTGTGGAGTCCATAGATTCTGGTTGTGTCATATTGGTCTTTCTGTTGTTGAGTGGATTCTTATTCTGTCTTCTTCCCTTATCTTCTTCCAGTGGGTGCAGGTGGGGTCTCTCTATCTCCTCTTGTGACCCAGTGCTATGTGTGGGCCAGGGATTCAATGTCCACAGCTCTGGATGGTCTTGCCTCTCCTGGTAGTCTCCTCACTCTGAAGGAGTTAGGCCTCCCTAGGGGTCAGGTCGGCAGAACGGGAAGGTAGAGTGGGGTGTTTCCAGACTCAGGGAGTTCCTCCCTGCCTGGACAGGTCTACTCCAAGTGGGCTTAGGACCAGAGAGATCGGGGTGAATGGGGCTTTGGACGGGAGTTGGGTAAGAGCAGAGGGTCACTCACCTCGTTATGGATCAGGTGGGCAGAAGGGGAAGGAAGCTATCACATGGTTTTAACCGCTTGATATGTAATGATCATTTTGATGTGTGTAAGGGTTAACAAACAAAATAAAAAAAATAACTTTAGAAGCACAATAAATTCTAAGTGAGGGGTTATTTACAGGAATGTGGGTAACCTCCCAGTGGCTACGCTACTGAAGAAAATGTTTGTCCACCTGGCATCCCTGGCTTCCTATAGCTTCACCGAGAGTTTTACTGGTGAGACTTCTCCTACACCTTTCTGGAATCATATGCTGCCATCTTTTCTTGGCGTAGCAATTAGCAGGGTTGAGAGGAATGCAGTGAGCCAGTGGCTGAGCTGTTTCTGACCTCACGGTTCTGACCCACTCTTCATTTTCAATCTTTACCACGATTTTTCTGTCACTAGTTTGATTCAAGATTTCATGTTTAAAGGAAAACTATCAAAAGATTTTAAAAGCATGATCAACATGCACACATGGGCAGGCAAGCATAGGGAATAGTTTAGCAGCCTAGGGCTAGACTTGGTTTGAATTATACACACACCTCCTAGTTCTGGACAGCCTAGGACCTTTCCCTGCCTGTGGAAACTTAGTGTCTTAGTCAAGGTTTCTATTGATATAACAGAACACCATGACCAAAAAGCAAGCTTGGGAGGAAAGGGTTTATTCAGCTTATACTTCCACATTACTGTTCCTTACCGAAGGAAGTCGGGTCAGGAACTCAAACAGGGCAGGATCCCAGAAGCAGCAGCTGATACAGAGGCCATGGAGGAGAGTTGCTTACTGGCTTGCTTGTCCTCGCTTGCTCATTGTGATTTTTTATAGAACCCAGGACCACCAGCCCAGCGATGGCACCACCCACCTTGGGCTGGGCCCTTCCAGACTGATCACTAATTGAGAAAATGCCTTAAAACTAGATCTTATGGAGGTATTTCTTCAACTGAGGTTCCTTCCTCTCTAATGACTCTACCTTGTGTCAAGTTGACACACAAAACCAGTCAGTACATGTTATATAACTCAACATGTCAATCAAAATAGAGAACCACCGTCCCTATATCCTCTTAGCAATCAAAAGCCTCTCTTGACTCCCACAAAAGGAAGCCCCAAACAGTAATTGGGGTCCTTGAATGCCTTCACTCATGTGGCCTGCTGTCACTCTTGACTGAAGCTCTGACTCATTCATTCTATAGGTTTTTTCTCTTGTTCTTTTCACAGGTCTGTGTGAACCTTTATTTCACTTCTCTGAGTAAGAGGGCAAGACCTGGAGACATCTTCTGACCACTGGGCAACCCAGGAGAGTGATGCTTTTCTACAGCCAATCAAATAATAGTTCAAAGAATTACTAGGCCAACCTGTAATTATACCATAATTACCACAAGAGTTGATAGAACTCTTTTTAGCCATTCCAGATTGCTTCTGCCTCAGCAAGTAGGAAATCTAACCATCAATTCGGCCTTGTTCATGTGTCCTGCCTCTCATGTCTTACCAGTGCACATTCCCTGGAAAGGAGTGGAGGAAACCCTCCTCAAGCACTTACCTATAGTGTGTTATGAGAAACTAAAATCAGGAATGAAGTTGAGAAAGCTCGCTAAAGTTCAGTACAGAAAGAGCAAAGGGGTTTTCAAAGACCTGGGATAAGTCTGTTGGCTCCACCTACACCTCTGTCCTCATACATCCCAGAATGTGCTTTTCCATGACTTCACATCCAAATGTGGTCCTCACCCTGACCCACCTTCAGAGGCCACAGAAAATCTGTCTCCTACCACAGGACAATGCACAGTTGAGTTTCTCTAATGCTGGTCCCTACTCAAACAATCGGGTCTGTGCATCTTTGTCTTTTGGCTTGCTTATTTTCCTTTCCCCACTTAGCTAAGGTAGCAATGCATCTTGTATCCATAGAAACCATCTCCAGAGCTTTCCATCTTGAGACCAGCATTCTTACTCTCCAAGGCATTTCACTCAACATACTCTTGTCACCCAAAGCTAAAGCGACTCGTAAAGTACTCCTAAAACTTGTGCTGGAGGAGTGGAGACAGAGAGCCTGAAGAGGGAAGAATTAAGGGCAGTGGCTTTGCACCTGCTATTGCAATTCCTTCTTCCTTTGGTGTTTCTCACAGAAATGAAGAAAATTTTAACAAGAAGCTTAAAACTCATATGTAGCTTGCAAGTCTGAATTGAAATTGGCAGCTTATATTTGAGAATTTAATGGAAAATTCTTTTCATTACTTAGTTTAAAAATTCCATTCTTACCCACAAGACCAAGAAGTATCTGATGTATATAATAAGATCAGTCCAGCATTATATAAACCCAAGTAGCAGTCTTGGACACATGAATACACACACAAACACACACACACACACACACACACACACACACACACACACAGTCACCACACAGACACACAGATACAGACAGACAGACACCACACAAACACACAGACACACACACATCATTCATATGCAAACCAGAATTACAGGCTAAAGATAAGTACCTTGGAAACAGCTTAAATTTTATCAGGAATGGAGGAAATGTTATATAAAATCGATTAAAATTTCAGTCAAGAGTTTGCTTGGTAAATATTTTGAGAATGCAGCAAAATAGGAAAAAGACAAACTTAAACAAGAAGGTCTAATGACAAGACCATGTCAGGGACAAGAACTCTGAAACAGCAGTTCTGTAGTGCCCTATAATAGTCATCAAGTTGGCGGAGTGCCCAGTGGCAGAGCGCCTGCCCAGCAGTAGTGAAGCGCTGAGTTCAATCACCACCCTAAAAATAAAGGAAAGAAAAGAAAAAATGGCTAGAGATTGCTAGTCACACTTATAGCCAATGCATGAACACCATGAACTCAATTTATATTTATCATAGTCAATGTATATTTACCATACAAGAAACCCAATAATAAAACAAAAGTAATTGTACTCTATTACTTGTTAAACTATGTACATTGAAGAGCAAAGGCTTGAATGGAATCAATATCAAGAATGTTATTGGCCATGGTGATTTTGGAGATGCTATTTCATGAAAAGGAATTTTCAGCAAAGCTGCAGGTATCCTCAGTAGTAGGTTGAAGGGGTGGGTATATGTGGACATTGACAGATGTGGCCACAGGGATCCAAATACACAAAGTATGTATTTCCCTGTCTCTGTCTCTTTTTGTCTCTGTCTCCCCCAACTCTCTATCTCCCTCCCCCTTTCTCTGTGTGTCTAGAGTACAATAAAATGAAGTTTAAAGACATAAAAGCAGAGAGAAATGCATTGTCTTAGAGAAGATTCCACCACTTGGTGGCAGTATACCCAAGTTAAGACGGTTGAAAAATTAAAAACAAAATATGGCTTGAAATGGCACCAAATGTCTTCTGACCACGGATGCAAAATCACCTCAAAGTGCTCCCTTTCTGGCTGGAAGTCAGGCTGCTGTTCCTTATGCTGCAGGTTCCAGAAGCACCCTTCTCAGGCCAAGGAGGCTGGCTCTATGCAATGCTTGCCTAGCAGGGCTTCACAGTCAACAGGAGAAACTTCCTCTAGGACAAACATTTTGTTTTACTTTTAATTCCCGCCATTTTTACTCTCATTACTGATCTGTGAAACCTACAACAGTGGGTACACTGTTGTGTAGGCTTCTACACAACAGTGGAAATGATTAATCAATGCTGAGGTCACATATTTTATTTCAGGCGTCTTTCTTTTGGTTGCTGCTGAGACCTGATCGATACCTTTTATAATAGTGTTCCTTATAGAAATAGGGAAACCTCTTTCCCTCTCCCCTCTTCCTCATCTCAGGACCTTGTTATCTAGAACAGGTCAGTCTCAATTTCTTGCCGAAGATTCCTAGGTGCTGGTATTACAGGCCTGATCCAAGCTCAGCAAGGTCTTTTTTTTTTTTTTTTTTTTTTCTTCAGTGGGAGACATTCTCACTCAGGGCTTGGATTGGGTGCAGTCAATAAAGTGCTCACTTTGCAAAATCAAGGACTAGAGCGGTAAAAAGCACCAAGCCCATGTGAAACAGGACAAGGGCAAGCCAGGTGGTGGTGGTGCTTGCCTTTAATCCCAGTTCTTGGGAGGCAGAAGCAGAAAGAGTTCTGTGAGTTCAAGGACAGTCTTGTCTACAGAGTGAGTTCCAGGACAACCAGAGCTGCAGGTAGGGAAAACCCTGTCTCAAAGAAAAAAAGGAAGGAAGGAAGGAAGGAAGGAAGGTATGAAGAAAGAAAGAAAGAAAGAAAGAAAGAAAGAAAGAAAGAAAGAAAGAAAGAGGCCAAGGACAGTGTCATGCACTGGGGAGGCAGGTCCATCTAATAAACAAAACCAAAATAAACAACCCACCTCTGATAAAGGCTGAGACATCGAAGGACAGAGACCAGACCTGCTCAAATGCAAAGGCCAGGGCACTGGACAGGTGAATGCAGCAGTCAGCATCATGCCTATGTCCAGGAAGTAAGGACACAGAACTCTTCCACTAGAGGGCTCCTTGTCCTTATTCCCAGAGCAGGAAGGAGCCAACCACCAACTGAGGGTACCCAAGGACATAGAGTGACAGGAAAACAGAAAGGCAGCCTTACAGATCCCCCAAGATTTAGCTTTGTTTCCCCCAAAGAAGAGAGATAAAATAGTTCTTCTTTGTTTGACAAAATACGCTCTGATATTATGAAATTGTGTCTTCTGTGCTCATGGTAACTGTTTTCATGTAATTGTGCATCATTCTGTGCCTAAGACAACATGGATAAAGCTTCATCTGTTCCTAAGATTTCTCAAAATAACTGATTAGCAAATTCTGTGGCCACTCCTTTTACTACTACTACTACTATCATTACATTATTATTAGTTTTTTGGGGAGGGGGTTGGAGACAGGGTTTGTTTGTGGCTTTGGAGGCTGTCCTGGAACTCACTCTTGTAGACCAGGCTGGTCTAGAACTCACAGAGATCCTCCTGCTTCTGCCTACCTAGCTCTGGGATTAAAGGTGTGCACTACCACCACCTGGCTCATTTTTAAATTGTGTGATAAAATTACTTTTTTGTCATCTTGGATTAAAATGCATATGTGAAAGCAAGTGCTTGGGGGATATAGTAAAAGACCTGATACTATCTTACAAACTTAGGTACTCTTAACTTTCTAAAAACTATTAAAATGGTATTGTGGGGTCTATTAAATAAGCTTTCTAAAATCTTAATATCCTTAAATGCTACTTGTGTGTTAGAATAACACCCATTGAAGTATAATACAAGTATTCTAATATATTTTTAAAATGGTTTTTAATTATGCACATGCCTGTGTCTTGGTATGTACACATGAATGCCCATAGAGACTAGAGACATCAGACAGACCCTCCTAGGGATGGCCTGACATGGGTGTTGGGAACTGAACTTGGGTCCTATGTAAGAACAGTTTGTGCAAGAGACACTGAATCATCAATCTAGCTCCATAATATGAAGGCTTTGCTAAGCAATAAAAGTTAGCATTTGCTACATAATTTTGATAGATATTTCTTTCCCAAAATAGGTTCTAGAAAGAAAGTAGATTTTTCTTTAATAGTCAAAGGTGACAGAAAAACAAGGATACCTAAAACTGCTTTCTGTTAATCAAAATGTCCCTAATAAATGTACATTAAAATCTTTCTATTAGATTGGTAGCCATAGATTTCTTTTTCAATGACAGTCCTAATTTAGAAATGATAATTGTGAGATTTTTATCGATGCTGTACTATACATGAAATGGTGGGTACATATGCTTGTCAAATACCTTTATGTTAGGTATTTGATCTCAGTAAGAAGGATCTCAGTAAGAAGCAGGACCATGCAGAATCTGGGTAGGGTTTCTGTGTGTATGTAAGGGGAAAAGGCTGTGTACTGAGGGAGAGAGAGAGAGAGAGAGAGAGAGAGAGAGAGAGAGAGAGATTTAATGTTTTCAAATATAGGATAACCATTAACTTACAGTTGTGATCTTAAGGCATGAGATTTATTACCAATCTGCTTGCATTCTCCTCTTTCAACAAAAGCCCAAGGTTCCCAAGAAGCTTCTCTTGTCTGGTTTAAAACTAGAGAAAAACAATTGTCATTTTAATGCTGAGCTGTTGACACCTGTTCACCGGCTTAAGCACCAGCAGTGATCAGGTTAGACTTTGTGTCTTTGTGACCTGAAGCCTTCTACTTCATTTATGTGACATGTTGTGTCTTTTGAAGCCCAGATATTGGATTAAGGATTGTGTAACCCTATTGAGGAAGTAATCATATAACAGGCTAGCTTAACACTGACAAATGAGGGGCTAGAGAGATGGCTCAGCAGCTAAGAGCTGACTGCTCTTCAAGAGGACCAGGATCAACTCCTAACATACACATGGAAGCTCACAACTGTTTGTAACTCCAGTTCCAAGGAATCTAATGTTGTCTGCAGGAACTAGACATGTACATGGTACACATACATACATGCAGGCAAAATGCCCATGCACATAAAATAAAACAAGAGACTTTTAGATGAGAATAAAAGCTTTAAAGTCTTTGGTTTTTAAGACTGTCCTTATTTATGATGTGGTGGTCTGAATAAAACTGACCCTGTAGACTCATAGAGTGGCATTATTGAGGGTGTGGCCTTGTCAGAGTAGGTGTGGCCTTGTTGGAGGAAGTGTGTCACTTGGGAGGGGGGGGGTCTGGGGTTTGAGAAGCTGGAGCCAAGGCTAGTGGCTCACTCTGTCTTCCTCATCATCTGGATGTAGAACTCTCAGCTACCTCTCCAGCACCATGTCTGCCTGCATGCTGTCTTACTTCCTGTCATGATGATAGTGGACTGAATCTCTGAACCGTAAGCCAGCCCCAATGAAATGTTTTCCTTTATAAGAGTTGCTGTGGTTATGGTGTCTCTGCACAGCAGTAGAAACTCTAACTAAGACACATGGCTATGTGTTTGTGTGTGCTGTCCTTAAGTGCTCACTTTTATAAGTTAGTGTTCGTATGAAACTACTCAGACCGAATTCCAAATAATGGACCTGGCATTTTAGAACAAAAATTTCCTGCCCTGGCAGCCTCCCAGGTGAAGCACGACCATCAGTCTCAATATACCAGTTAAAGAGACATTAATAATGAGCGACAGAGAAAAAAAATGTAATCAATGTGGTCATGATGGGAGAAGAAAATAGGGAGGTTTTATTACCCCCAGGTCTGTCTTTGGAATTTGACATGAAATATACTTTTTTTTTTTTCAAGACAGGGTTTCTCTGTAGATTTTGGAGACTATCCTGGAACTCTCTTTGAAGACCAGGCTGCCCTCAACTCAAAGAGATCCCCCTGCCTCTGCCTCTCCAGCGCTGGGATTAAAGGTGTGCGCACCACTGCCCAGCTTTGAGATAGGGTCTTACTCTGTAGGCCAGGTTGACTTGAGACTGACCATATAATCTGGCAACCTGGTTTTGAATTCAAAGTGATCTTCCTGTGTCAGTCTCCCAAGTGAAGTGTTGGGATTGAAGATATGAACCACTGTGCCCTCTTCTGAATTTTAAAATGTTGAAGTTCCCCCAGGGTTCTGTTTCCCAACTTCTGTTTTCTCTCAACCCATCTACTCCTTTCCTTACTGATACCCAAAGTTTGGGTCATTTCCTCCTTGTCAGTGATTCCTAGGGTTATATTTCCAGCTCCCATTGGTTTGCAGAGTCACTTTCATTTTTATGACTGCTTATAAATATTTCCATAGCCCATCTAGCAGATGTGGCAAATCTGGCAAGCCTGCACCTTCAGTGTTGCCAAGCTCCCTTGCCACCCTTTTCAAGTACCATTTTGCATGGCGTTTTCATTATAGTGACTATATGATATTGATCTTAATGTCATCACCATGCACAGTGCTGTCACTCACTTGGATAAATATTTGCGGAATGAATTAATGAATACATGAATAGTACTTCTAGCTTCAATGTGTCTCTCAGGTAGCCTATTAGGAAAACAGGATAATTCATATATTCATAAAGGATCATCTTTTGGCTGTGGTGGCTAGCTGCAACTCCTATGGAATCATGCCTTTCAGTAGTCACACCCCTGTGCAAACCATTCCCACAGTGAAATCTCGTCTTAGGTCACTAGAGAAGCTGATGGCATGGATGCTGCTGACTTCCACAAGTTTAGTGTCCCAAAGAGATCATGGTGAAACAGTTTTTCATGTTTAATCTCTGTCTCTGTTTCTCTCTTTCTTTCTCTTTCTTTTCTCCTCCTCCTCCTCCTCCTTTCTTCTTCTTCTTCTTCTTCTTCTTTTTTTTTTTTTTTTTTTTTTTTTTGGTTTTTCCGAGACAGGGTTTCTCTGTGAACCGGCCCTGGCAGTCCTCGCTATGTAGACCGGGCTGGCCTTGAACTCTCAGCCTCTCAAGTGCTGGGATTAAAGGCATGCACTGCCACGCCGGGCTTTTAGTCTCAATTTCATGAGCGCTTTTCACCCTAGGACTGAGGGATACTCCTCCAATTGGAATGCTAGAATTAATGTTACACCCGTAATCAAAACCATCAGCGCAGTGCAGCTTCAAATCACGGCCTCTCCGTCCTCCAGCAGCCCCTGGAATCGCTTTCCTTTTGGGCAGAACTGGTGTAGAAACTACTGCAGGCGCGGTTCTGCCGAGACCCAACACAGCCAAGGAAGGGTAGTTCCTGGCTGGTGGCTTATCCCGGAGTACCCTCCTTCAGCCACACGGGTGTGCTGCGACACTACAGTCCGCAGGGGACGCACCGGATCATGGACCTGGTGGACTGGGCAAGCGGAGCCCCACCACGTGGGCGGGGCAAAAGGCTCCCGGGAGGTCCCAAGGGCAGGAAGTGAGTGGGCGGGGCTTGGGAAGAGTGTGCGCCTGCGCAGAGGCTGGCTGCTGGATCCCGCTCAGGCCACGTCTAGAGTGCGTGCTCACGGTGACGGCTCGGCGTTCTCCCTGAGCTGGGCGGGGAGGGTGGAGATGGGGAGCAGGGGCAGGGAGGGGTTCGGGGCTGCGTTGAGCATGGGCCATGCCGGGGTCGGCACGAACGGCCAGGGTGGCGGGCTTTCTGGAAGCTTGCCTCTCGCCTCCGGTGGTGGGTTCCGCCTGAGCAGCGCTTCCTCATGTGTAGTCGCTGGCCTGGCCTGTGCGGGTCTCCCCTCCGTCCCGCCGCTCGTCCTTTTGCAGAGACCAGTACTCCTGCTGCAGCTCGCAGCATCAGGACAGTCGGAGCAGTCCCAGGGATTTCCTGAAAACTTTGTGTTCAAGGGTCGTTTTTTAATGTTATTTACATGTCACCCGAGGTGTGACAGGGAGCATCTGTGCTGGGCAAACCTCAGCCGGAAACTTTAGTCCCCGGAGATGAAAATACCACATTTGGAATTTAGGAGTTGATGGCCTCTGAGCAACTCTCAAGGTCTTGAAGCCCTCTCTAAAAGGATTTAGCTTCATAGAGGTTATCCCCAGCCAGGGTTCAGGGGTGCAGTGTGAC